GCCGCATCAAATGCACATCAATTTGGAGCGCTGTGAGTAGATGGCGAGATTGCTAGAGTCAGTAAGCGCAGTGACCATGACTGGGAAGATGGTCGCCCACTCACCCCCTTCTTCTTTGTCAGCTCGTCCATCCTAGCGGCCAATGCCTGCTTGGCAGACTCTTTAGCTTCCTTCTCTCTCTGAAACTTGTCCTGCAGCTCTTGCTTCTCCGCAATGACGCTACTGCGAGCAGCGTCCGCTTCGCGCTGCGCAGCGTCCGCCTGTTCTCTCAGCTCTTCCGTCTGGGCAGAGAAGCGGTCACGTTCACGAGTCACTTCGGAGAGCTGCACACGCGATTTGCGCAGCTGTCATGCGTGTGGGCCTAGTCAGCAAAAGAGACACCCCGCATAGACACCCAGCGACGATCCGGCTCCGACTCACATTTCTTTCGCTGTCGTTCAGGGCAGCCTCGAGGGTAGCGACAAGATCAATGTTGGCTTGCAGGTCTTGCTCGCAGTGGTTCAGCTGGGCTACCAGATTCTTAATCTCCTCTGCTTGTTCCGTGAGCAGCTTGGCAGTCTTTTGGTCAGACTGCGCGAGACCATTCAGACTCGGACTCGAAGTCGTGTGGGAGGTGATCGAGGAAGAACGCGTCAAAGCATCTGGCGAGTCTGGTCTCGTGATGCTGCTCGAGGCGGACGCCCTCAAGCCAGCAGACGACCGCTGGGTAGGCGTCGCGCTGCCTGCTCCCGACGATGGCGTAGGTGGGGGAGGCATGTTGGGTGGCGGACCGAGGGGCGGTGGCTTCGCTGCATTTGGGCCGAGCTTGCCTGCTGTCGCATCGTCAGAACTCTTCCTCGGCAATGGGGACCTACGACCACCATGGCTAGCTTCCGTCGTGGTGTTGTCGAGCGACGAGCTTGCGCTGAGAGCTTCTCCATCGCGCGAACGCGAGCCCCTCGTCTCAGCAATCGTAAGCTTAATCTGAGTCTCGCGCAGCAGCGAGTCCTGTCGAGCACGTTCCTCGAGGAGGCCTTGGATTTCGCTCTTGCTGCGCAGCAAATCGGAGCGGACGTTGGCCAAGCCAGCGTTGGCTCGATCGAGATCTTTGCGAAGGCTCTCCGTTGCGTCCAGATGTCCATTTGAGGGTGCGGCGACGCTCTTCTTCAGAGCCCCGAGCTCCGCTTCGAACCTGTTGCGCTCTTCTTGCGCCTCTGTGAGTGCTTGCTCCAGAGTGACCAGGGCATCGCTGGTCTCGGACAGTTCCGAGCGAAGCAGCTCGACTTCGTGCGGATTCTGTTCGCGAAGCTGTTCGTGAGCAGAATTGAGCTCGTCGTAGGCCGCATGAGCCGCATCGCGCTCTTCGGTGAGCTGCTGATGCGCGGATTGCAAGGTAGCAACGCTGGCTTTGTGCTCGTCTCCAAGAGCCGCAAGACGCTTGGCATGCGCATTGCGCAGCTCTACGAGCTGCTGCTGTGTGCTCGCATGACTCGCCTGAAGTTCATCGCGCTCAGCGATCGCTCGGGACAGGGCAGTCGAATGCTCCTTTTGCAGCAATTCCCGGGTCTCGGCATGCTCGCCTTGTGCCTTGGTGAGCTGGGCATGAGCTTCGGCGAGCCTAGCCTCGACGGCTTCGAGGGCACCACCATGCTCCAAAGTCAAAGCTTCCAATCTGCTATTGTGACCACTCTCGAGAGAAGCAGAAGCCAACTGAACAGCTTGCTCGTGGCTAGCTGCCAGGTCGGAGAGAGCTCCCGAGTGCTCCTGCTGCAACTCGTCACGCGCATTCTGCATGTTCACAGCGTGGTCCTCTCTGAGCGCCTTCATCGCCTCCTCGAGATCTCGCACACGGGCCTCGTGCGTCGCATTGAGCTCATCGATCTGAGCTTTGTATCGCTGCGCTGCGGCATCGTCGGCCTCGCTGCGTGCTTTGGACACTTCTGTGTCGAGGGTACGTTCATGAGACTCGAGCAGCTCTGCTTGGGTCTGGGCATGCTGGGCGACAACGCTTTCGAGCTTGCTTTGATGCAATGTCTCGAGCGCTGCAAGAGCATCGCGGTGCCGGGTCTGAGTGTCTGCCTCGGACTCGTCCAGAGAGCGGGTGTGCTCCTCATGCACCGCAGCAACAGCAGCAGCCAGCTCAGCAGCGTGCTTGGCGGCCAGCTCCTTGAGTTTAGCATCATGGGTCGAAGTGAGATCACCAAGAGCTCCTTCGTGCTCTCTCTTGAGCTCGACGACGTGAGCAGCGTGTTGGGCCTGTGCTTGACGCGTTGCATCTTCCCCGATGCTCGCTGCAGCTGCAGCGTGATCCTGCCGGAGCGCATCCAGCGCCTGTTGATGCTCAACGAGCACACGCTGCGCCGCGTCGTGGTGCTCCTCGGCTTGTCGGGCCAGGGCCTCGGTGTGCAGATGGGCAGTCTCGGCATCCTGGGACTCCCGC